CACCATGACATATTCTAAGTAGACGAGAGAGGCGTTGGTAGGGCTGGAGAAGACGGAGCCCCCCTCATGGCGCGGTTCCCGGCTGACCTCTTGCGGCAGGGCTGCGCGCCCTCCCACGACGCCGCCGCCGCCCACGTCCGGGGCCTGGTCGCCCTCCTCCTGAGGCACCAGGCGGAGAGGCGCCCGCTCCTCCAGATCCACGCCCAGCTCGTTGCCCGCCAGGTGTTCGATCGCCGTCCCACGCCCTGGCACGCGCTCCTCAAGGCCTACTCCCGCGGCCCTCTCCCCCAGGAGGCCCTGAGCCTCTTCAGGGACGCGCGCCGGCACGCGGCCGACGACACCTACGCCTTCGTGCACGCCCTCGGGGCCTGCGCGGCCCTGGCGTGGCCGCGGGCCGGCGCGCAGCTGCACGGGCTCGCCGTCCGCAAGGGGTTCGAGATCCACGCCTACGTGCATACCGCCCTTGTCAACGCATATGTCGTGTGCGGGTGCCTGGCGGATGCTCGGATTGCGTTCGAGGAGATGCCGGCGAAGAATGCGGTTACTTGGAACGTGGTGATCACCGGGTTTGCTGCGCGGGGCGAGGTTGAGTACGCGAGGCTGCTCTTTGAGCGGATGCCCTGTAGGAATGTTGTCTCGTGGACCGGGATGATTGATGGGTACACACGCTCCTGTCGGTCTGTGGAGGCCGTTGCTCTCTTTCGCCGCATGATGGCTGAAGGCGTTGATCCAAGCGAGATAACTGTTTTAGCGGTTGTACCTGCGGTATCAAATATTGGAAGGATTCTTTTGGGCGAGGCCTTGCACGGCTATTGTGAGAAGAAGGGTCTTCTTGTGTTGGATATCCGAGTTGGGAATTCGCTCATAGACTTGTATGCCAAGCTTGGGTCTATAAACAACTCACTGAAGATTTTCCATGAAATGCTGGGTAGGAGAAACTTGGTGTCATGGACATCAATAATTTCAGGGCTTGCAATGCACGGGTTGTCAACTGAGGCAGTTGAACTGTTTGCAGAGATGAGAAGAGCTGGAATCAGGCCTAACAGAGTCACCTTCTTAAGTGTTCTCAATGCTTGCAACCATGGCGGGCTGGTCGAGCAAGGAGTACTGTTTTTCAGAAGCATGGTTTATGAATACAATCTAACTCCAGAGATCAAACATTTTGGTTGTATCATAGACATGCTAGGGAGGGCTGGACGATTATGTGAGGCTGAGCAAGTAATAAGTGGTCTGCCTATGGAGGTTAATTCAGTTGTGTGGAGGACACTGCTGGGTTGTTGCAGTAAGTATGGAGAAGTGGAGATGGGGAAGAGGGCAATGAAGAAAATACTAGACATTGAAAGAGAATCTGGAGGTGATTTTGTGGTGGTATCCAATATGCTTACTGAGCTCGGTAGGTTTAGTGATGCTGAAAGAGCACGAAAGCTAGTAGATGAGAGAAATGCTGTTAAGGTTCCTGGGCTTGCTTTGGTTGATGAGAGTCAGTAATTCAGAACCAAATCATGGGAAGAAGCTCCATGCAGTTTTAAGAGTTTTTGTTCCATCATTACAATTGTCTCCCTGCATTATACCAAATGCGATTAGATCTTCCTACTTTATGGTGGGTTTATTGTGTTCTTTTACCTTTTATATCTTTCGTGCAAAGATAGAAGAACTGAGAGTTTTTTATCTTATGGGTTTCAAATCTAGCCTACCCCAACATGTTTGGGACTAAAGGCTTTGTTGTTGTTGCTGAATGATTGTTGAATCATATGACCTTTGTATTTAAAAATCACAATCTCATTATCCACTATTCGTTTTTTTGTATAATATGTTGTTAATAAGCATCGACAATATGGTCATTTGTTCCATTTTCAAAAAGACTAGTTCACGGTATTATTCTTTGCCGCTTTTGTACTAGTTCACAGTATTACTTTTTGTTGCTCTTTTACTTATCTTGTTAATCCCTTCCAGGAAGCAGATGTGTTGAGTGACATGTGCCATACTGCATTTCCCCTCACTGATCCACTGTTCATGAAAAAAATCCAGTTTTCTTTCAGCATTGTAATGATGGAAGCCATAAAGAAGCTTCATGGCCATCTCATTGTTTCTGGTCTGTACAATTGCCAATATGCAATGTCTAAGATTCTCAGATTCTATGCTATTCTACAACCAGATTTGGCTCTTGCTCATAAAGTATATGGGCAGATTGAAGCACCAACAACTTACCTTCGGAATATCATACTCAGGGGGCTTGCTCAAAGCGATGCACCAGAAGATGCAATTGCTTTCTACAAGAAGGCTCGAGGAGAAGGTATGGAGCCGGACAACCTGACGTTCCCATTTGTAGTGAAGGCTTGTGCAAGGATTAGTGCTCTTAAGGAAGGGAAACAGATGCACAACCATGTACTGAAATTCGGGCTTCTTTCGGATATCTTCGTTTCCAATTCGCTGATTCATCTATATGCTGCCTGTGGTGATTTGTGCTGCGCAAGATCTGTTTTCCATGAGATGCTGGTTAAGGATGTGGTGTCCTGGAACTCTTTGATATGTGGATACAGCCAGTGCAATAGATTACAAGAGGTCTTGAAGTTATTCAGGTTGATGCACGGCGAAGGAGTGAGAGCTGATAAGGTCACTATGGTCAAGGTTGTTTCTGCGTGCACTCGTCTAGGAGATTGGAGCATGGCAGATTGCTTGGTCAAGTACATAGAGGATTACTGCATAGAGGTGGATATCTACTTGGGCAATACTTTGATAGATTACTATGGCAGACGTGGGCAGCTGCAATCGGCTGAAAAGGTTTTCTTCAACATGAAGGATAGGAACACCGTGACAATGAACGCAATGATCACCGCATATTCGAAAGCGGGGGATCTGGTCTCCGCAAGAAGGTTATTCGAGGAAATTCCTAGCAAAGATCTGATCTCATGGAGCTCTATGATATCCGGCTATTCACAAGCCAGTCAGTTCTCTGACGCCTTGGAACTCTTCAGGCAGATGCAGAGAGCCAAGGTGAAACCGGACGCGGTCGTGCTCGCGAGTGTACTCTCTGCCTGCGCGCACCTAGGCGCTCTCGATCTCGGCAAGTGGATCCACGACTACGTGAGGCGACACGGCATCGAAGCCGACACCATCCTGCACAATTCTCTGATCGACATGTACGCGAAATGCGGAAGCACCAAGGAGGCGCTGCAGGTCTTCAGAGAAACGAAAGAGAAGGACACCCTGTCATGGAACTCGATCATAATGGGGCTGGCGAACAACGGCTCCGAACACGAAGCCCTGGGCGCCTTCCGCGCCATGCTCGCCGAAGGGTTCAGGCCGAACGAGGTCACCTTCCTCGGTGTGCTGATCGCGTGCGCCAACGCGGAGCTCGTCGAGGAGGGGCTCGGCCACTTCGAGAGCATGAGGTCGGTCCACGGCGTGGAGCCGCAGATGAAGCACTACGGCGTCGTCGTCGACCTCCTGGGGCGCGCCGGTCGGCTGACGAAAGCGCTGGGGTTCATCGCCGAGATGCCCGTCGCTCCTGAGCCCGTCGTCTACAGGATACTGCTGGGGGCGGCCAGAACGCACGGTGATTTGGGCGTCGCCGAGGTGGCCGCCGAGAGGCTCAGGGAGCTGGACGGCGGGAACGGCGGGGACTACACGCTGATGAGCAATGCGTATGCGGGGGCTGATAGATGGAGCGACGCCATGGAGGTCAGGCAGCGGATGGAGGATAGGCGTGTGAGGAAATTGCCCGCTTGCAGTGTCGTCGACTGCTGACACTGCTAGCTATAGAGTGATGCTCGGGTCCATGGACCGAGAGAATGATGTTAATTACTCTGTAGCCAATTTTGTCATAACGATGTGAATAATGCAAAGCCAGAAAAAAGGATGCACGCCCGTAGGCACACATTACTTTTATTTAAGGATACATGGATGATATGACAAACAACAGAAAACAAAGAGAATACAAGCGGTTGTACACCTGCATACCATCCCTAGCCAGGAGGCGTTAATGAGCTAAAGGCTGAATCTAGCCTGATAAGGAACATCAATCGAAGTCCGTTAATGAGCTAAAGGCTGGATCTAGCCCGATAAGGAACATTAATTGGGGTCCGAGCCTCTTCAACACCGGCTTCTGGATCTAGCCCGATAAGGAACGAGTCCAAGCCTCTTCAACGCCGGCTTCAGGGTCAACGCCAACCCGCCCTTCAATAGGTGGTCGTATTCTCCACCATCTTCCTCAAATCCGCACCAGTCATCACCGCCGCACTCCAAGAGCATCGCCACCGCCATGCCAAGATGCAACACCAGATCGTAACCGCACTGACAGCTTGGACCCCATAAGCTCTCGTCGGCACCAGCAACACCTACAACGAGCAGGAGCACGGGCTGAGAGATCATTATTCCAATGAGCACCACCACATGACATCGGCGGAGGAAACTCAAAAACCTCTCTAAAGATTAAAACGCGCCTGGACGAGAGACCGGAGCTCCCCTCCCCCTCGCGATGCCAATACGATGATAGGAGGGGAAGGGGAGCGACGAAATCGCCAGCAAACACCCTGGATCTAGAACCACCACCGCCTCACTTCTACTCCCTCCGTTTCAAATTATTCGTCGCAGAAATAGATGTATCTAGAACTAAAATACATCTAGATACATCCATACCTGCGACAAGTAATTCAGAACAGAGGGAGTATTCACAAGGTGCCAAACCATTACCTGTGCGCGAATGAGGAGGTGAAACCAATCGATGCCCTTGCAGGAGGTGAAACCAATCGATGCCCTTGCTCCTATAAATCTCATTGATCATTATAGTAACAGGTATATGATCATACATAAGGTAGCAAGGTTTGATTTTCGAAGTATATATAGCAAGACTTAGAAGCTATAGAATTAGGACGGGAGACCAGGAACTTCTTAGAATCAGCTATAGCAAGACTTAGAAGCTATAGAATAATCAGCTAGAGGACCTACAGAGCAACGGCAACCCTATAAAGATCCATCGCCTTGGCGCCAGTTGCATGAGAAAACTAAGTGACAAGAACCAACATAAGTACCATTCATTATAAATAAACTCATCGAGACAATCCAAAACGTTAACACCATTCAGCCTCACAGATAAGGTGCAAATTCAAGAGGGCGGGGTAATAACTTGACAAAGGTCTATGATAGTAGGATAGGAAACAAGGCTAGGCAGCACAACTCTATGTCTATTGGCGTAATCGACTTTCAACGCACTTTCAACGCTTCCCGCCGCCGCCGCCAATCTTTGGGCCCTTGGAACCCTTCTGCACGGCGCCCTTGCCCCCCTGTGACTTCTGGGACTTGGTCACCTCTGCCTTCTTGGCCTTCTTCTCATCCTTGGTCTTCTTGATCCGCTCCTTGATCTCACTGCAACATGATGAATCAAGGGTGAGATGATAGAAAAGCAAACAATAATATCAACAGCTGCTAGAATATCCAAAGTTATCAGTTTTCGCAACAGAAGATTTAGGCGTAGACACAATGCTGGAATAGGAATAAAGAGATTGAAAACATACCGGAGAGCGGCTTCTCGGGCAGCATCACGGACTTCAGGCTTCTCAGCCCTCTTCTTCTGGATAACTTCCAGAGTGGCACCAACAATCGACCGTGAGTACGGCTTCTTGGTGGTGCGGCGCCTCTTCTTGGCAGCCTCAGCATGGATGTCCTGCATTGACACATCCAAGCACAGCCCAGTAAATACACATGACAGGACAAATCAGTAACCAAAAACAAAAAATAATCATTTGTCGCAGCAAACACAGGAAGTTGCAGATCATGAGGGTTAAGATTACAGAAGGACTGGCATGCATAAATACAGGCATGCTAAGAGAAGCAGTGGTCTATAAATAACATAACAAATGTGATCTAATTGTTTGTTATAAATACCAACACACAAGCATATCAAACTGTAGGGAGGAATTTGCCCTCAAATTAATGACAAGTGAAATGCAAATTACAAACAGAGTTCATGCAACCTAATTCTAGCAACATTTCTTTGTCTAAAAATTAAGAACTTAGCAGCAAAATGTGATACCTTCTTGTGCTGCTTCCTGTACATTGCTGTCCAGCAAAGCTTTGCAGGCTTGAGGCGGTTGTGGAAGTAGCGCTTGCATTTTGAGTTGGCAAAGAGGAAAACCTGCAGCACAAAATATCTGAATCGTTAGTTGGTGGTTCCTGTTTGAAGAAGAATCAACAGAAAAAACTTCTAGGCTTAATACTGATGACCTAGACCATTCAACAACAATATAAGTGACCTTAACATAACAAAGTTTACCTGCGAATCCGAACGAATGAACCTGATACCCTTCCCTGGGTAAATCTTCTGGCCGCTAAAACGGCAGAGCTCGGTCCTGTAGAACAAATGAAACAACAATTTGAGCACTTAAGACAACAATTGTAAAACCATACTCGAGGTGTCACTACTATCAAACTAAGTAGAGAAGACAAGCTAATTTGCAAAAACATATAGCTTACTTCAGAACCATCTTCTCAGCCTTAGAACTTTCACAAGCTCCTACCTAAAAATGAGATCAGAACAAACATGAGCAACACTTAATAAGGACATAAAGGAAGGGAACACAAAAGAACAATAACAACAAAGCAGGCTCTTTAGCATAGAATGACCACAAAGCACAATCATGAAAACCTCATAACCAACAGGGTGTAAATTGTGTACTCATGTTCATCTTTCATACTGAAGTGTGTGGTTTCGGGTGACTACTGGCTGCAGAAACTGGAGTAAATCTCTGCTGCAAAGCGGGTTCCCTGTTTCTCTTGCACAACAAAAATATGACAACTGTGCAACCAGAACGGCTACCATGCCTCAGTACTTGTGCTCTGGTCCAAATGAACCAACCTACAGGTTGTGGTAACTTGACAGAGAGGCCCAATAGTAAGCTCATTATCAAATAGCTACTGTCTAGAAATAGGATAAACTCTAGTACAAACAATGTCAGATGCATGTCAAACAAGAATCAAATGGGTGATGTTGGGCGACTACTGGCGGCAGAAAGTAGAGTTCAATCTCTGCTGCAAAGCGGGTTCCCATGTCTCTCTTGCACAACAAATAAATGGCAACTGAGCAACCAGAACGGCTACCGTGCCTCAGTACTTGTGCTCTGGATCCTACTTTAGACAAACAAAGAATAACACAACACCATAATCGTAAATAAAGGCTGGATGATTATTGGGTAACTACTGGCAGCAGAAACACAAAGACCCATGTACTGCACGGTAAAGATTAGGCCACCGAAAACTGCAACAGCGCATCTGTATTCGGTGGCCCAGTACCTGTGCAAGATCTCACGAACAGCAGGCAGAAAGTCACTTCAACAATAAACCTAACTGCGCTTGAGGTAATGGACGCATCCAGATCACGGGACAACAAACTATGCGTCGTCCCATGGCTCGCTCCCTCGCATCTGACGAAAGGACTCAAGCAAAACGAACACATCTCGAACACCCATAACGGCGAAACCCTAGGAACTAAGCCACTGCCGGTGACCTAGGCTACGAATCGAGAGACACGGCCGCCTATCATCGGATCCAAACCAACCAGACCTTGCGAAACGAAACGGACGAACTGGCGGAGGAGCAGCGCGGCGGAAGGAGGAGCGACCGCCGGACGGATTGGCCTAGGAGGACGGGGGAGATGGGCGGAGGAGAGGATGGGAGGGATACCTTGGGCGAGGAGGAGGCGCGGCGGCGGCGGATGGGGGAAGTGGGGGGAGATGTGTGCCGCGGGTAGGGTTTTGATGACCTCGCGAGGGGTGGGGTGAGCGTGGGGTTGTTGGGCTAATGGGCCGTTCGAGTAGGGTTTGCTGGTCGGAGCCCACTGTTGCTCGACCGGGTTTTTGGTCTTGTAGGCTTTCTCATTTCCCGTGCTATGTCTTTTCTGGGCCACGCCTCCTCGTGTAAAAAAAAACCCAGAAATCAGAGGGTCCTCCTGCCAAGCTATGATCGACATCTTTCCCAACAACAACAAAAAAAACTATGATGCTTGAAAATAGGGTAACAAAAGTATATGATGCTTGAATCCAACGTACAAATTATTTGATGATTGCATCAGGGTTTCAGGTACAACAACACATGCATACAACTGATACAAATGTAACCCAGCAAAAAAAAAAATATCCCTAATGGTCGAGGACAAAACTTTAGAATACAGAAAAATGTTCTGGGAGTCCAACTATTTCCTCCGTGTGGATTTCACCTTGCTGCTTATTATCACCATCGGAAGTAGAAGTACATATCCTTGTGTAAACTCTTCATCCTTGCATTGAATAGATAGATACTCCCTCCGACCAAAATACTTGTAGTTGGAGGAAACTAGTACAAGTTCCCCCAACTACAAGTATTTTGGTACAGAGGTAGTAGATACTATATCTGCTTTCAGCTAGCATCTTTGTCCGGCTCAGAGCTTACAACCGGTAGGTTCCTTCTGTACTGAGGAGAGGTTAACCTCCTCTCCAACGGCGTCTTTCTCTTGCTCACCACGAATCTGTTCACACCCTTCCTCATCGGCATTATCTCAGGGAAGTCCTCGTCGGGAATGTTGGCGAGCTCGGAGATGTCCTTGATCTGGGCTGCCCTCCTGAACCATCTCTCGGCCTTGGCTTCCTCGGACATGTCCAGAGGATCAGGGTCCTTCACAGCAGAGCCTTCTAAGCTCTTTCCAGTATAACCTCCACCTCCGTAGCTTGAGTAGCCTGTTGCTTGATTAGGGTTAGTGGAACCAATGCCAGTAGTAGAAACCCTACTATCAGGATGTGAACCACTCCAATTTTGGTTGTTGTTGCTGCTCCAAGCATTGCTGTTGCTGTGATCACTATAGCCAGGCGTATAAGACGGTTGTGTGGGATAGCTTCCCTGATTGTAGGTAGATGTATCTCGACCCTCGTTGAAGCTCCCCTGAGAGTAGTTTGTGTTCAGAGTGTTCGAAGAGCCACTGGATGGACCACCCGCCTGATGAGGTTGTGTCTGATACTGATAGTTGCTAGATCCACCCCTGCCATCATTAAACCTCCCCTGGGACTGGGAGTAGTTTGTGTTCCAAGCACCAGTATTTGAAGTTCCACTAGATCGATCACCCACCTCATGAGGTTGCTGTTGATGATGATAGTTGTTAGATCCACCTCTGCCATCATTAAACCTCCCGTGGGACTGGGAGTAGTTTGTGTTCCAAGCACCAGTATTCGAAGTTCCACTAGATCGACCACCCGCCTCATGAGGTTGCTGTTGATGCTGATAGTTGCTAGATCCACCTCTGACATCATTAAACCTCCCCGGGGAGTGGTTTGTGTTCAAAGCACCAGTATTTGAAGTTTCACGAGATCGATCACCGCCCTCATGGGGTTGCTGTTGACGCTGATAGTTGCTAGATCCTCCTCTGACATCAGTAGACGTCCCCTGGGAGTAGTTTGGGTTCCAGGCGCCTGAATTTGGTGTACCAGTAGATCGATCACCCATTTCATAAGGTTGCTGTTGATACTGCTGGCTGCTGCTTCCACCACGTGTATAACTACCTGGACTCGAGCTCTGCTGAGAGTAATTCCTATTCCAGTTCTCATTACTCGTGATGCTACTTCCCTGAGGGCCAATCACCTGTGAGGTGTTTGGGTTATTTCCCAAATGTCTTGATGGAGCATTTGTTTCTGGCAGCTTATCAGCTGATGGAGAACTTTCTGAAACTATTCCCGTATCTGGAGTACTCTCCGATGGCGCATCTTTCTTGGCAAAATAATCAGGAGGAAACGGAACAAATGGGACGAAATCGGAATTGTTAGCCTGCTCAAGCACACTGCGCCTCTGGTACTGTGGTGATGTCAGCGAGCGGTCTTTTTTCTTACTAATAACAAACCGGTTCTCACCCTTCCTCATTGGCATAATATCAGGAAAGTCTTCATCAGAAATAGCACTTGAAAGGTCATTTACACTGTCGAGTTCTGCGACTTTCTTGGACCATTTCTCAGCAGTATCTAATGATTTATCAACATCTTTCCTCTCAGTTGAGGCCTGTGGGATATCGGGTGTGGAACTACCAGTTTCCTTATTTATTTGACAGTCCCTATCTGCCTGTTCATTACTCTTTGCATTCTGTGGCTTGGTAAACAGATCAGCAGATAATGGCACAAAAGGAACGGGGTCGATATCACCAAGATGGCCTGTTAATTTCCTGGGAGTCTCAGCATTTACACCCCCATTATCAGACTGATTGTTTGGGGCAGAAGTAGATGCCGAACGCCCAAGTATCCTGTCTAAAGTTTGACTAATCTTGGAGTCGGATGCTGTTGCTTGAGGGCTATTGTTACTGCTGTACTGTGCACTTGCCAATCTTCTCTCCAATGGTGTCTTCCGTGTGCTAACTACAAATTTATTGACTCCCTTCCTCATAGGCATAATCTCAGGAAAATCCTCATCAGTTGCCAGACTACTTAAATCAGCAGAATCGTCAAGTTGAGATACTTTGCTCAACCACCTTTCTGCCTTCTCATCGCTTTCAGCGAGTTTTCTCTCAATTTCAGATCTACCAGCATTAGTTCCACTAAGAAGCTCTGCTACACCGCCTAAACCAGTACCAGCAGATGCAGTTGTCGCTGGTCTTTTGCAAGCACATCTTAAGCATGACATGTTCCTCCCATAATTATAGAATTCACACCTTGGCAAAAGGACAATACAAAGTCAGCCATCTCGAAGCATAAATAACTTCAAATCACAAAAATGAAGTTAGCATGTCGAAGCTTACTGAGGGCATTCCCACTCTCCGCCAGTCAACATCTTCTTTGGCCGATGCTCATTGCACTCAAGGCACCTCGCATTTCTTGCAAAGTTCATAAAGCTACATCTGTAGGTTGCAGAGCATATTTAGAGTCAACATTACGAAAATATGAACAAGGGTAAAAATATTTCAAATAAGTACTCCCTCCGTCCCACAATGTAAGGCATTTGCAAAAACGTCTTACATTGTGGGACGGGGGGAGTAGTAAACAAACCAGTAGCAAATGATCTCAAATGCGTCTGACAATACAAGTAGTTGCGAATTTATTTTACAGATGCGAGTTTTGGTCCTCTTTGTACAAAATTATGAGAATAGCACATAATTGGTCATGATTAGCTAAATGTTGGTTAGGAATATAGATGAGAAAACATACACGGAGGTAAAACAAGCCAAGTGTGAAAAGACTGAGACAACAACAGCATTGTTCAAAAATGAAAAATGATTTATTACATAGATGCATGCTTGTGCAAGACTATGCTACAGCACAAGAAAATGAGTGTGTATATTTTAGGTGTATCACATCTAGAAAGAGAAGATGTAGAATTTAGTCGGCACTTTAGAGTAAGGCGATGTGGCATGCAACTGTCAAGTTAATAAATAAAAATATCCACAACATACCTTGTGCAAATCCAGTCACCACGTTTCATCTCAACATTTTGCCCTGGATGCCTAGAGAATCGCTCAGGTTGACTCTCAACTGTTGACTCCACGAAACTGGAGGTGTGGGCAAGTCCACTAGAATTAACTAGCTCAGCCAAGATATTTCTGACAGCTGAATCAGTGAGTTCTTTGTCTTCTAAATAGTTGTTTGACGAACTGTATGTGTAACTTAACAAGTACCGAACAATGTCCACAGTTTCCGCTCTGCCTGATTGAATTGCCTGGCAAAAGTTATCACATCTTTAGTGTCTTGACCAATACAGTTCTGTCACATTGCATAATGTGGGATCAACATTTGTGAAATGGCAACTGAAACCTGTTGCAAGAATTCTTAAGAAATCTGTTCTTTCCGTACAGGATATGCTTATGGCTTATCCCAAGAATCCCCCTTCGGATTCGGTTTCAATAAATGAAATAAATGGGAATACTTCTACAGTTCTACCACAAAACATCTCAAACCAAAGCCCAAGTCAAATAGCTAACTATATATATGATGAGAAATCTCTCTGCCTTAATCCCTATCCAAAAAGGAAGGATTTGAATTTGTTCTATGAGAGCTCCAGCCTCCTCCACAACATCGAGGCCCCTAATCGCCACCACCGCTTCCTTCCGATGACGCAACCTCCACACCAGCCGCCACGCCTTCATGCCTCCGCCTGGCGCAAGTTATGTTTTGTGACTTTGTAGTTATATAAGTTCTTAGTTGAGCTCTGTGCCCCTCTGGATGTCATTAACAGTACAAGTCACGCATTAAGTTGTATGCATTTGCTAGTTAAGCTCTGTTGTTCACAGCTTGCTAGACTGCAAGTTGCATTCAGCAAGGCTAAGGTGTGATGGATGTTTTCCTCTAACTACATATATACTGACTATCCTTGTATTACTTTCTGTACAATGCCATGTAACCACAGTTGTAACCCTGGTGAAATCGGAACTGAAGAATATACAGCATTCCTATCAGATGTTCAACATCACCCATCATAAAAGCAACAAGGGGTGTAACAAAGGTGCAGCGAGAAAATGATGAACTGAAATGCTCAAAATTTAATGGGAATTATACAGAGGGTTGTCCCTGAACTGAATGGCATGTTTGGTATTTCCTTCTTAATTATATTTTTTACTGTATCGCTCACAACATATGGCTACAAATCCGGTAGAGAAACATATGCGGTAACTTGAGCTAACCAAAATAATTATCTAGTTGACTGATGATCACACATATCACATATGTAAAATCTACTGTAGTATACTCCCTCCATTCCATAATTCTTGTGAACGGAGGGAGTACTAGACAACCACTCCACAAGAGTGATGTGACCAACTTGCAAAACGGATAAGAACTCACATTGTCCTCTTCACCCGCAAGGTATTGCTGCAGCCGCTGCGCAGATTCCTCACCTCCCTTGAACAGGGCCGGTGCAACGTTAGACACCACAACCTCGACATCCATCGTTGGCAGCGACCTGTGGTCACATCCAATCAATCAGCAACGTGAGGGAAAAAACCAGCCGGCCAGATGGCCAAGCGATTCACTTCACCTGAGAAGGTCGGGCCGGTCGCGCGCGAAGGCCAGGCAGGAGGACACAGCGGACTCCGCCTCGGCCGACAGGCCGCTGCCGGAGGCGACGGCGAGCTCATCGGCGGGGGAGGGGGCGCGGGCGGCGTAGCCGGCGGCCGCGAGGCGGTCGACCAGGCGGGACCATTCCGGGAAAGGGGCGTGGAGCGGTGGGGCTGACGAGGCGGAGCTGGAGCTGTAGGGGAGGGGTGAGGCGGCGGCGGCGGCCGAGGTGGAGAGCGTGCGGAGGGGAGAGGGGGAGGAGAGCAGGTGTTGGCGGCGGGATGCCGCGGTGCGCGAGGAGAGGATGAGCGCGAAGGCGGCGGCGGAGGGCCGGAGACGGAGCGGGGAGGAGGTGAGCAAGAGGGAGGACAGCAGCTTGGAGGCGCTGCCCATGGCGACGGCGGCGACGGCGGAGAGCCGAGACCTGGAGGAGGAGAGGGTTCTACGCCTCCTTCCTGTAGGCCTTTGCCTGCTACTCCCCAAATTGGCGGCCCAGCGGATGGTCGGGTTTAGCCGGACGGCGCTGTGGAAGAAATATCTCGGCATGATCGCACGGCTAGGATTCACCAATCACCCCGACAACGAGAGAGAGAGAGAGAGAAATGTTTGTTTAATAACCCTGAATTTTTTTAACACAGTACAAACGCAAGCGCTCATACATATGCGCATACACTCGCCCTTGTGAACGCACACACGCACACCCTACGCTATGAGCACCTTCTGATCCGACATATCATCTTGAGATTTACGAAGTCACCGTAGGCGACTCATCATCAATGGGAACGTCTCCTTCAACTGAAAGCGAGTCGCCGAAAATTCTGAAATAAATTCAGAAATAATGAGAGCACCAGGGCTTGAACCCGATGGGCTGCGGATATCACTGTCCCTCTAATCATCCAATCTTCTACTCCTAATGGAACACTTGGTAGCCTGATACGGTTTATTTTCGTCCGATTTTTCTTCGTCCCACATCCCACCACCCTCTTCCATTGTTTTTCTAATCCATTGGTTTATTTTTCTCTTTACTCTTTTCTTTCAAAAAATTAGCACTTTCCTAACGTACAAAAAATCACAGTTCTAACTTTTCTAACTTATCCAAATCAACGATCTCTCTCATCAATATAATTTGTTTTGGGAAATAAATAATATTTAGGAAACAAATAATGGATTTTAAGGAAATTAACAATTAAACATGACAAACAAATTTTATTGTGAAAGTATTATCTCTACTCCTAAAGTCCGTTTGTTGGTTTCGTTCATTTCCCTATCGATCGATCCTCTCCCCATCGATGGAGAGACATCTCCACTGTTTTTTTTCTTCAAATAAAGTGTCTGCCTCCACCTCTCTCTCGTATGGGAAAAATCATCACTTTCCTAACGTACAAAAGATCACAGATCTAATTTTCCTAACTTTCCAAATCAACGATCTCTCTCATTAATGCAATTTGTTTTGGGAAATAAATAATAGATTTTCAGGAAACAGATAACGGATTTAAGGAAATAATAAGTAAAACATGACAAACAAATCTTATTGTGAAAGTATTATCTCTACTCCTAAAGTCTCGGTACGTAGGTCGTTTGTTGGTTTCATTCGTTTCCCCATCGATGGAGAGAAATCCCCACCGGTTTTTTCCAAATAAAGCGCCTGCCTCCACCTCTCTCTCGCATGAAAAAATCAGGAAAGAACCACCCACGCATACCCCTCTCGTCCGTAGATCTTGGGGGAAGATCCCGCAAATCAGGAAAGAACCATCCTGAGTGTAGGAAAAAAATAGTCGCCGATAAAATAAAAGACCAACTCATGAACGCCCCCACCCCTCCTCCTCTCGATCCAATCCCCCGGATGATCCGCCTCCCCTGTCGCCTGTCGCGCTGCTGCGTCGACCCCAACCGCGATGCCTGACTTTTCCACTGACGCTAAGGCCTTCATCAATCCCTCCAAGATCTGTGTCCTCCGCATTGTGCTGCCGCACCCTCCACTCTCGTCGCTGATACGTCTCCAACATATCTATATTTTTTTGTTGTTCCATTCTATTATATTATATGTTTTGGATGTTTTATATGCATTAATATGATATTTTATATGATTTTTTGGATTAACCTATTAACCTAGAGCACAGTGTCAGTTTATGTTTTTTCCTTGTTTTAGAGTTTCGCAGAAAAAGAATACCAAACTGTTGAGGATATGACTACCAGGAATGACCCGCCCAGGAGGGGCCGGGTCAACTACAATGGCGGTTTAAAAGAATAAAGCCCAAGAGTATACAAGATGATGGTTTACGATTAGGCTTATAATAGGCCCAAGCCGGGAGGCGGCTTATGGCCCATAGGTATAAACCATCATGTATGAATAGACTTGTAATACAAGGCATGTAAGAGATGTCACCGAGCCGGACACGTTTGTATGAGCCGGCCGGGACTCTGTAGGCCGCAGGGCATCAACCCGTGTATATAAGGGGACGACCCGACGACGGCTTAGGGCAAGAGACAACAGATCGAGAGCCAAGCTAGTGTATTCGCTCCTTGGTCATTAAAACCTAACAATACCACATCAACTGGACTAGGCTTTACCTTCACCGCAAGGGGCCGAATCAGTATAAACCTCTCGTGTACTTTGTCCCAATTAACCCCTTTAAGCTTCCTAGTTGCGATGGCTCCATGACTAAGTCCTTTCTCTAGGACATCTGTCGTGACAATTCCACGACAGTTGGCGCCCACCGTGGGGCCAGCGCATGGTGGATTTGAGTTCTTGAAGGGCAGCTTCGAAGGGCTCAAGGGATACGCTATGGGCCGGATGACCAAGAGTTGGCGCGGCAAGCTCTACATCGACGACGCAGGCTGGGGCCCCGACGCCGACTCAATTGAGTACGGGCACCAGGTCCCCTTCGGCGGAATCCACGTCTTCATTGGCCGGATCGGCGAGCCGGGCCCTGAGCCGAACACCTGCACCGGCCTCATCGAGACGGCTCAGCGTGCGAGACCCGCCCGGACTCAGCCCGCCGTGAGGCGTGCCTTCGTGGGTTGCATCCATGGAGGAGAGTTTTCTGAAGGATCTGTGGATGGCGGTGAGACGGCTGTCTACTCTGACGGTGAGTCATCCACGGGTGAGACAGATTCATTGTATCAACTACAAGATGGCGGGCTTGGGGGCTGTTCTGATGGCAGCAGTATTCCGGACCCCTTTGAGCCGTCGAACAGACTGGTACGCAGCCCGCTCAAAACTCTACGGATGCGGCACCGATAACCACCGGGTCGGCAGCGGCCGGGTGAGGAGACCCCGCGCGACCACCAGCTCAGGTGCTGATGGATCTCATGGATAGGATGACGGCTCTGTTGACCGCTGTGGTCGAACCGACGCATAAGGCTCAGCATGATGCGGAGGTGGCACGGTTACGTGGGGAGGTAGCACAAGCCAAGGAAAACTTGGCGGCGGAGGACGTCAGGATGGCTGCAGAGCGGGCGGCTTTGGACGCTCGGGCTCAACAGCTTCAATCAGAGGCTTTTTGTCTCACGATGGTTATGAACGCATCAAACGAGGTCATGAGGAGAAGGCACCAGAAGACTCAATCATGTTTGCCTCTGACTTACGATCCTAGGAACCTTTTCCCCACACCTGGGGCCGGTCCTAGTAACCCACCAGAGGCAAACCAGATTACAACACCCGGGGCAGGGGCGCCGGTTCAGCCGCGGGCTATGGAACCCCCTCGTGTGAATACTGCTCCGCCTCATTATACACCAACATCACCGGGTCATTTTTCTAACCCTTTGGAGAATCTGATCGCTGCATCGGCATGTTTGGCGGCTCTCTCGATGGAAGGCGACTCCCCGACGGCGATCGAAACACGAAGGGTCAGAGAACTTCTTCAGATGGCTCTGGCACAGCAGGAGTCATACTCTTATAGTCGAGACAGGATTCATTCAACCCCTCGCCCAAGCCGGAGCCCGAGTTATAGCAGGCATATGGATTCAGCGGCCGTGTCAAGCAACGCCCAGCGCCGTAACCAGCCGCATAGGCATGACCCAGCGCATGATGGAGCTCTTAATTTGGTTGACCAGGAAAGGATCCGCCAAGAGGCTGAGCGAGCGGTTCAACAGGCAGCTGAGCAGGCAGCTCACCAAGCTTTTCCGGTTTATCCAATGACCTGTACTGAAGCAGGTGTGACCACGAGGACTATAGGTGTCCCTTGCTTGGTGCCGGCTCTGCGTAATGAGCGCTTGCCAAAGGATTTTAAGGGGCCTCGTAAGGTGCCTAATTACACAGCTGACTTACAGCCCGGGGCATGGGTTGAAAGTTACGAGATGGCCATGGAGTTACTGGAGGTCAGTGATGCAATGATGGCCAAGTACTTCACCATGATGTTGGATGGAACAACTCGCACTTGGTTGAAGGGGTTGCCACCCAATTCCATCGGCTCATGGGCAGAGTTAAAAGCCCGGTTTATTCAGAACTTTAAAGATACGTGCAAGCAACCGATGTCGATTGTGGGCTTAACTAATTGCAAGCAAGAGGAAAGTGAATCCACGACCCATTGGGTGCGCCGGGTGAAGGAAATAATACATTCATCTGATAAGATGGATGCCGGCTCCACGGTCTTAATGTTGGAGAAAAATTGCCGTTTTGAACCTCTAAAACAGAAGCTAGGGCGGCTCAAGTGCGATTGTAATGACATGGGCCAGCTGATGGCGGCTCTCGTCAAATATGACGACTCTGATAGTACCAAGGATCTCGCGTCTGACGAAGAGAAAACAGGGAAGAGAAAGAAGAACGGCAATGGCAAGGGCCACCAGCATAACCCGACAAATCAAGGAGGTAATAATAAACATAAGGCTGACGGTAGTCTGGAGTTTGTGGCTAACACCAACGCACAGGGCAATAATCAGTGACGTAAGGGGAGGCCACCCCTTGGTCCGGCGGGTCATGTCCCGCTCTTGAGTAGCTGTTAAATGAGCCTTGTCCAAGGCACGGTACTCAGCAGAAACCAGCCACTCACTTATGGAAGGACTGTACAATCATGAAGGCTTTCAAGAATTCTAGCATGTTCGACGGTAATCATGGACCGGGCGGCGGCTCAAGCGGTGGCGGCTTTCTGTTGGAAATATGCCCTAGAGGCAATAATAAAATGGTTATTATTATTATATTTCCTTGTTCATGATAATTGTCTATTGTTCATGCTATAATTGTGTTATCCGGAAATCGTAATACATGTGTGAATACATAGACCACAACATGTCCCTAGTGAGCCTCTAGTTGACTAGCTTGTTGATCAATAGATGGTTACGGTTTCCTGACCATGGACATTGGATGTCATTGATAATGGGATCACATCATTAGGAGAATGATGTGATGGACAAGACCCAATCCTAAGCATAGCACAAGATCGTGTAGTTCGTCT